CCTTTTCCATCATGGATTCAAATACTTCAGGCTATTGCTCAACCAGCTTCAGCAGTAGTTAGTTTAACAATTGATTTACCTGAAAGTAAGTTTTACATTTTCATGCTGAATAATCAGTTAGTATTAAGTCTGTCGAATCGTCCAAGACATGCAATTGAGATACGCGCAAAATCGAAGTTCATAAAACAACAATTTGTCTTAAATAGCAGTTGTTTATTGAATAATATACAAAATTTAGTTACAAACCTGAACTTGTGAGGTGTCTGCAGCGTTTAACGTGTCCTATGTATGAAATAAAAAAGCCTTCCTGTAACAGTAACATAAATAATAATTACAACATGCGATAGTGCAAAAGACAGCTAATAGTTATGTCTAAACTTGGTAACAGTTTATCAACAAGCGAAACCCAAACCAGGAGCAAAACAATATGGAAAATGTTGCATTTAAACAAATGTACGCAATTGTCGATGACTGCTACAGTGATTGAGATGAAGTAATTATAATGATAAATATAATAAACATTATAACTATATGTAAATATTTCGGGATATTACACAAACTTGCGTTACAACATGAGCTTAGAAATTGCTAACAATACAACTATTTACTGAATTTAAATAAGTAGTATAAAACAATACGCAAAAGAATGGGAGGAAGGTGAATCAGGATGGAGAAGAAAAAAAAAAGACTTAACAATCAGTCATTTTATTTATTCATTCAGACTATAATTCCTACTTTCATCTCTGAAAATGTTTTATCAATTTGGTGATTTGTTTCATGTCCATTACACTGTTCTATCCTCAGTGATGTTTAGACAATATAACTATCGCTAGTAAATGAAGTTGTCCGTATCTTTACGCTTCTTTCTTCTAACTAATTTTTACTCATTTTTTTCTTACTTCCCATAGTCCCTGATAATGATTCAGATGCTTTAACTGCTGCATTCAATTCAGTTGAAGCAAAATTATTACCAACTATATCATCGACACCTTTACAAGAATTAGTTATTATTTATAATGAAGTAAGAATCAATGATGATTGGACTGTTGAGAATTTTTCTAATCATAATAATAAATCAATGAAATCCCGGTTCCTTTTTATGTTATCCAATTTATTCATTAAACGTTTTGGTAAAATGATAAAAATTACGAAAAAAAATTTTTCTGTTACATTTAGCATTTTGTGATTCTTTTTTATTGTTTTTTTAATTTTTTTAATTTTCTAGTCTTTTCATGAATTATCTAAAATACTGTTTTATTTACATTATTATTCGGATGAATATATAGTTGCCTAGGTAACATATATGACTATTATTATTATTATTGCTTTGTTGTTTTGAGATTTTGAGTCTTTTCATTCATCATTGAAAAAAGTCACTTGATGATAAAAACAGTGTCAAGTTTTAAATAATGGGCTTATTTACCAATGATCATCTTTCGAACTTTTATCGTTACGAGAAAATCATTATGAATGTAGCCTACTAAGTCTAACTATTGACAATTCGTAGTAGTTCTATCCGAGCTATGGATGTAAGCTCAGCTATATAAATATAACGATGACCCGATCGCGTTCTTAGTGTCGATTGGCAGTGTACTGATGAAGAACACGAGTGGGGACAATCGAATGTATTTGGGCACAAAATTTTTGAATATCTCACTAAAATCTGAGAACCATATAGTAAATAGTTAATTTGCAAAATATTAATCCATCGACTGTTCCTTTAGCAAATATCAGTCGATTGTCTCAGATTTCATTGTTCATACATTTTCATATTAATTGCGTTCCGTTCCCCGTTCTTTCCTTCTTGATCTACTGAAATACATTCTATGCCTGACCACCGTTCTATACCACTTATGTGGATATAAGTAACCCACTCCACAATAGGAACTCCCTTATTAAAGATAATATCTTGTAGTAAAGGTTCCTAGCCATACCTTCAGTCGGTTGCTGATGTCTTATTCCCAAATAGCATAATTTTTCTCTAAATAGAAATTTCAGAATCGTCGATAAACCTGTCTATTGACTCTAAACAAGCATGAGGTTTTACAATTTAACCAATCGTGGGACAAGTTTAGGACTTGTGGTGATATGGTTTCATATAAATCCCGGTGTTTATGATCCCTTCAGTATGGTTGCTACGGTAGAGCTAGACTACTGGTGGCTTTGAGATCAACCTTCCGAACAACAACAGATCAGGATGCAGTACTTGTAAAGACGGATATGCGTTACGATAAAGCGGTAAAATCACAAGGGATGTTGCGTTTTCTTAATTTTATTGCCCTGGACGTTGCGCTATCAAACTAACATCATCTCCAGATCCACCGTTCTCTTCACCTCATTTCTTGAACGCAGAGATAAGACGGCTTTTATCAACCATCCGGAATTCTATAGGTGATTTACGACCGAATCCGATTTGATCAAAATGTGAAATGCCTTTTAGAACGTTATGATTAATTCCTCATCAAAAATCGTAAATCAGAATATACTGTCTGCGATTTATTGGTTGAATCGATTTGGTCCAGGACTCAATATAGTTTTCTACTTCAAATTTAAGTTCATAATGTTGAATAGCATCGTAACTAATCAGATGTGTGTGGTTGTGTAATGATAAGATTGCTCTGCATGGTAAAATGTTTGAGTTGACTGTTATGATTCGCCACATTCTGAGTATCATTGGTAGTTTAATAATCGATCCAAATCTCGTGTTGATTTCTCACCATATACTCTCATTTTATTCTGGATTTTAAGTTGGTTTCACTACTGAACGTTGTTACTGGAGGTTGGGATATTGTTGATAGATGTTATGATTAATTACACCATTCTTCGAAACGCTTTCTACGTCTGTGCTTTAGATTATGTAGATAATGTTATTAATCGGTTTGTATTGTGTTATAGTGGTTTCAGTCCAAGTGAAAATCTAAATTACTTTAAGGAATATAACTAAGGAAGCTGGATAATGTTTAATACCGACGGTCTTGAGTGAGTCAACCAGAATTCAGATCGCGCATTTTGGTTGGGAGTGAGCGTAGAGGAATGTTATCCGGTTGAAAAAAACAGTTCTGGTCATACACTTAACCGCATCAAATACTTTATCACAAGGTTTGTTTCAGGAGTAGGTACTTCTCGTTTTCATGTCATATTCACTGCTAGGTTTCGTAGTAAAAAAATTAATTAATTTTTACGTAGATCATAATAATAGGTGAGTGTCTAACGATTGAGTTGGTTGAGCTATTCTACGCATTACAGAATACCATTAAATTCCCACTATGTTAGGACACAGTAAGTTACTGAGCTAAGTACTGTACTACATCTTATTGAGAAACAACAAATAACTGAATATCTGATGTAAATCCAGATTATAGAATAGTTTCACCTGCGTATGATCGTCATAATTGTCAATATCATGAAGTTTTTAATGACTTCCATCATTAACGTCTTCGAAGTCTGTTAGTGAATGACAATATTGAATTCATGTTGGTTGAGCGGACAGCTTTTTTAGTGTCCAATATCTTTGTGTCGAGCATTTATAAACTGACCGATTTTTTGCGCTCACGTTTTGCTATTGTGGCAGGGATAATGTCCAATGTACGGTGAATAAGACACTGAAGTAAACTGTTGTAGTCAATTCGGTAATTAGTTGATTGCTTTCTGTGCAATCTGAGTGGGTACGTTAACATAAGGGAACTAGGAATACTGGGGACTTCATCAATGTTGCTGCAGCCAGACATTGTTGGATGCAATGTAAATTATACACAATGTGCCTGTAACATGCGTTCTGTGCCTCGCGTAATCCAGGATTGTCTACAGTCCCTCATGAAAGTGATATTTATCAGCCTTCTGCCGCTATTTTTAGTGGGTTGAGGTCATCTTGTGCGTTTTTGTGTGGTGTGAGATCCGCAGTTCATGTTTGAAGTTCTGAGCCAGGAAAAATATCCAGCGAAAGTATGAATTTATTTATTTTTATTGTTCTTGTTTAGACATTTTTAATTAACATCGTGCTAACATTGTTTTATCAGTGAATGAACTTGCTTTAACTGTTGAATGAAAGGATTTCTGTGTTATTTTTCGCTCATAATTTCTGGTTACACAGTTATTGTGTAGAACTATGGTCTAATTCGATATTAGTACTGCTCTAATAAAAGACGTTATCGGAAAATTATAGATTTGTCATGATATAACTGCCTAATCTATAAAATCTTACGTGGAAGTCACATCATCGTCTACCATAACCCATTGTATCGTATCAATCATCAATATATGTTAGAAAAGAAACTTAGACTAGGAATAGAACAATATGTTTAATATGAATAAGAGATATATGACAACACTCAAGAGTGACCACGCCAGCGAGGCCAAGCCATGCCATTCGATCAATTCGATTTAGTTGAATTTATTCTTCTCGCCTTCTCCATCGTTGGGTTTTGTCCCCGCGTTAAGTGTTGAATATCTTTTTCCCAGTTGTCTCGATTTCAGCTTTGAAGATTTTGTGGTTAGGGCCTAATGCCACTACAAATGATAGTTAATAACATGGTATTCCATATCCTGTTAGGATGTTGACATTTCAACCGCCACATTCTGTTGTAGATATCCTCATTATATCCCCCAAATTTTTCACATTACATGGACTTCAATTACAATCTCTTTGATCATGTAGTAACTTAATTATGTGGTCAAAAGTGCTTCTGTAACTCCCAATGACTTTGGCATGAATCTTCAGAAGGAATGTCAAAATGTGTTGCGACGGTATGTCACGAGATCCATGGTAGAACGATTACAAACTCAGCTTTTAGCATCATTGTATTCCGACTAGTATTCATCTTTTGAATATGTTAGAAATGTTTTCATCATCCAACAAACTAGAATATTTATCTTTCAACCTTCTTTAATAGCTTTAGAAGCTGACTACCAACAAATACAAATCTCTGTGTAAGACATACCTCTTTTTAAAGATTTTTGATACCTTCATATAAACATTGGATATTGAATACTTACAACCTTGGAAATCATAGCAACAAAATGTGATCTTTTAAATTTCAATCAAATGGCTGTAGATGAGGAGGAGAGTTCACAGGTAGAGCATTCCACATATAGTTTTCAAATTAACTTTGCTATCTAACTGTCATAGTAGTCTGTTTTTATCCATTTTTATAATTGTTCAATTTTTGATCACCCATTTTTGAGAGTTATTAAATTCTTTTTCAATATATTTTCAGATTATTTTTGATGAGATACAATTATCTGCTGTTTTTTTGTTAAACTATAGTCTCTCTATAGTGATTCGTTCTCAAAAACCATTTTTTTACGTCGAGCGTTGTATTTTAAACACATTATGTTTAAAAGAATGCAACTTCGAATACAATGTATTCGATATATTACAGAATCTCCCTAGTTTCGGAAAATTTTTTGACAATCCTTCAAGTTCGATGACGTACTTTCAAACCTTCGGGGTTTTTCCAGATCTGTGCAAATGTTTGGATTTTCGTGCAGTTTCTTCAAAATTTCCCTGGAATGTTCTATAGCGAGTTTCCAAAGACAGATGAAAATCTCCCCAAAATGGGGAGATTGGGTATACACTTTTACTATATTAACAACAACAATAGAATAGTAAAATGTCAGTTAAATAGTTAAGCTTCATCATCGTTTCAAACCCTTTTTTCACTAAACGATGTGTTTAAAAAATTATTACTTTCATAGTACTGGACATTATGATGAGATAAAGATTAAGAGAAAAAATGTGATCAGAAGTAAGTTAACAAAACAATTAAACAAAATTCGGATGATAATGAAGACAGGTGTTTACGTTAGACAGACAAGAAAAAAAAGATGGTTGACAGTATTTCTGACAGTAGTGTACAAGTTGAAGTGGGAACTCAATACTATTCAGTGAAGTCTTATAATGTTACCTAGAGTCCCAGATAGTGTAGAGTTCGTATGTTACACACAATCGTTTGCTAATTGCTCGGAGCTTTCTAATGACAAGACTAATAAAGTAAGCTGAGAAGGCGTTTAACATGGGATAGATACTTAGTGAGAAAAGGTGGTTTTTTACTAGAGTAAACACGTAGGTGAATAGGAGTTAGGGTTAGAATCCATAGTAAATCGAAGGACAAGGATCTTCCTTTACTAGCAACAGAGGATCTGATTATCGCTTGGCTTGTATTTGTTACTGATATCATGTCATTTTAGGGCCACTTTGTACTTTGTAGGTTCGATGATTTGTATTCTTTAAAAACTAGTCATATGTTATTTGACTTAATAGGTCGTTTATGTCTGCTCATAAAAACGGAAACACAATCGTCAAGCTAAGTAGAACGCATTCGGGGTGAAAACAACATTTCAGTAGCCATGAAATTGTTCCCACCCACGGTATGTCATTTACAAAGCCGCTGCTAAATTATGAGCAAGTGAAGGGAATTCACAGTAATGGAAAAAATTATTTTAAGCTTTATACGGTCACAGATGCATCTGGCTTGATGTAGCTATATATTCATGCTTTTTAATTAGTACTTTTTGAAACAGCAGCAAATTCACCAGCAAAATCACCAATCAAACCACACGTGATGGGGAAGCTATGGAAGAGGCGCAAACGTTCACGTTACCCGAGCAGCAGCTTTGATGGTCAGTTAGGATCTGATGCAAATTTTAAGACAAGAATTGACAAATCAAGGACAGCACTCCTACAATTGGTGATCATCTGCAACTCAAAACAACTGTCTACCAGCGTCAAAGTCGAAATTTTCAACATGAACGTCAAGACAGTTCTACTTTACGGAACTGAAAATAAAACCGCTAAATCCACCATCAAAAACTGCAGGCATTTATAAACAATTGTCTTTGCAAGATAGTGAATGTCAATTGGCTGGATACCATCAGCGATAGCCTACTGTTATAGGAAAACAAATAAGCTTCCACTTGACGAGGAAATTAGGAAGATACGCTGGAGGCGGATAGGACATACATTGCAAAAATCATCAAACTTCACCACGAGGCAAGCGCTTTTTGGGATCCTAAAGGAGAAATGAGAAGAAAAAGACCAGGGAGCACATTTCGTTGGAAATTGCAAGCAGACATGAAAAGGATGAAGAGAAACTGGAAATGACTGGAATGGATTACCCAAGACAGAGTTGAATGGAGAATGCTGGTGGTCGGCCTATACACCTCCATGGTGGATTACAGGCGTACGTAAGTTAATAATCGAAGGCAAGGTGTCAATTAGGTCGAATCAAATTCAAATGAAAAAAGTATTAGAATTCTGTTTCATCAAGATTTTCTTTTATATGAGTGAGAAACCTTCAAGATAAGTAAATAGTTACTTTTCGATAAACTGAGTTACTTCCCTTAAATGTACGAAAACAAAATTAAGGGATGTCAAATTAGTCAATAAGAAATGTTTTTGTGGTTTAGGAGCAGTACGTACTGAAAAATGCAGTGAGTTCTTTTGAATTAATCAGCTTTATTTGGTAAACTAACTCTCTAGAAATATTCCCTAAGCAACTTTTCTATTAGAAGTTGAAGTATAGAATGTCAGAAGACGTACCAAATATTCGAATGCTGGGAAATATCAATTTCCTTATACCAAATAACTAATTAGTCTGTTTTGAAGAAAATTCAGGTAGAAAAATGCTTTGGTTTAAAAAGTCAAACACTTATGATTGTTAGTATAGCTAACGTTTCTCGTTTTGTCTAATGTAGTAAGTGATAAAATACCTGCCTGACGTCCTAAAAATGATAAAATTTGATAGTCAATGACACACCCTCTGCAATTCATTCTGCTAATAACGTTAACATTCTCCTACTTTTCTGGATTTCTGTGTTAGGTTATTTAAGGGTGAAATGCTATAATCTGATACGTTTTATTTGTGATGTTCTGATGTAACCTGTTACTAATCTATAAATAGCAGTCTTGAGGTATAATCTGAAAATATGCTAATGTGTTTTGTCTCAATTCAAAATAATAAATTTTCAGTTCAGGTATTCTGGAAAAACATTTGTGTAATTTAATGATAGTAATTATACATTCTGAAGCTAATAACTACAGAATTCATGCCAGCTTATAGGCATGAACAGCTTGATACAGATAGTAATGTTAAATGTAGATGACATATGACGTGCTAGATTGTTTGAAGCTTTCTAGGTCAAAAATTGTTTCGGAAGCACATTTTTCCACATGTATTGCATTAATAAAAGGTGTCCGCCGGTAACTTTTAATTCTGTTTAAGTGACATTCTGTTGATGTATGAATAGTTTATTTAAGGCTATGTCTTGCGCCACAATAAAGCGTTTATAACCACCTACAACTAGAGAAAATACAACGGAAACAGAGAGCAAGGAACAACAAACTCAATGATCATTACAATACATCAGTTAGATCTATCATAATAATTGTGCTAGGTTATTTAATGATGTACTGTCCAGGTGAGACATTATTCAAGTTAGTTAGTGCCACCATGGTTGGTGTTAGTGCTAAGTAACAGAAGGCTAGGCGGTTTGCTTAGTGGTCTCGGTAATAAAAACAGTTAAATATTTAAAGTTCCTATAATTGTACCTGTGGAGTTGGATATAATTATGGATGTAAGAAAATTTAAGGCGTTTTCAAGGGAGAAGCAAGCATTGATTTAGCAAACGAAGGATGAGAGTGATTTCATTTTACTTCCAAATTGTGGAAGGTTGCATAAGTCTGAAAACGTTCACTGACAAAGTAATTCATATGAAGAGAGGATTTAGAATGACATTGGTACACTATGCACAAAGATTTACAAATGCTGTAACTAAGGTTTTTTACATAGTGAATTGCTTCATTGGGTATAAAAGATAGTTTATTAAGTATTCTGAAGAAAAGGATTGGATTTGGTTCGAGTCTCTTCTTTCGTTAAGAGTCAAGTTCAAATTTATTGCATATGGACTCATAATTTAAGGTAACGTCAGTGAGAGATTTCAAAGTGTAAGTCGTCTTTGGCAGTACTAACAATAAACGCGCAGTATTGGAGAAAAGATTGAACACATACTTTGTACATTGAGATACGTGACTCTCTGTTATAGAGGTTACAAACTATGCAAATCAAAGGGTATTAAGACCTGGAGGTCTATTTCGAGACTTGTTCTGAGAAGGATAAACTGTAGGATTACCTGAATCCTAAGTTCATTACTGAATGTGACTTGGATAATACCTTACCATTTATGGTAAGATCCATGTTGAGTGAAGTATTGCTAAATCAGATCCACCCACATTTATCCATATCAAGCTTCAACTGCCATTTTAAGCACCACTTGGCTACCTTGTCGAGCTTCATATTGATGCACTTTCGCATGTTCTTCAGCTCTTGAGGAAAAACTGAATAGACTACTTTACGGTCATCTGCATATTGAAGAGGCTTATCCATACAGAAACTATCGCAAATATCATTTACATAAATTAAAACTAGCAAAGGGTTTAAGACCACCTTCTATTACACCACTTTTGAATGGGACAGCATCCGAAAAGGCGTTAATTTAGACTATTTGATGTCGGTGGCTGGAGATAGAATTAAACCAAACAAGCAGAAAATTTTCAGCCTCGTAAGATGCGAGTTTGCCTATAAGAAGCTGGTGGTTAACCATGTCAAAATCTTTAGAAATGTCAAAGTTAAGCAGTAAGACTATATATCCCCGGTTACATTAAGTAATGACCAAATTGAAGAAATCAAATATATCTCCTCGTTTGTCTATTAATTGTTGTAAGTGAGAGCCTAAATCTATTCTTAAGGATAATTTCTTAAAAGGTTATTTCGGGTGTATTACCTATCTCGATTTTTGGACTAGATCTGTTTTTCAGTTATCAATTTTGGTCTCATAGTATCTGTAGTGGTATTGAACCTCTCAATTAGACATGTTTTCCTGTGTCATGTAAGAAGTTTGATTCTACCATGAAATCTTTATCGTCATAAAAATGTTTTCTTTGTGGAGGCAAAAGTTCTATCATTGATAACATTTTATATCATTCATCTACTAGTCAGACAACTGCATTGAATATTCCCTTAAACCACAGGACAGAAGCAAACTATTAAAATAACATTCAAAAGGCTAGTAATAAGTAAGTGTATGTTTTTGTTTGGGCAAATGTTTAATGTCTTTAAGTAATTTTTCAACCATCTGATTCTATTTTGAATTGCTTAATTAAAATTATAGCTAAGAATTTCTCTTTCATCGTATTTTCAAAAGCTGAAGAACACTCATCTTAACGTTAATGCATGATTAGAAATCTCTTGTTATGAACAGTTGGGGTTATTTATTGTGGAAGGCGTTCAGGATTTACTTAAACTAATGTACTTATTCATGTATGATATAATTTACTTCATGTTCATTTACAGACTCCAAATGATACAGATGCAGTGGTTAATCAGCAAGTTATTAACAAAGAACTAGTTACGTTGCCAGAAAATATAGTTAGCAAGATGCAAAATGAAATGCCATTACTGAATGAATCTATTGGTCGAACATCACCTTCACAAACGAAAGAGAAGTTTGAAAAATACACATCGGATCATAGAATTATGCGTCGAATTGTAGCTGAAGATCCTAACTATAATTTAACTATTGTACCACCGTTAGTTGATTTGTGCTTAAAACATTGCACAGAAAATTTTGAATGTACGTTATAGCCATTTTATGATGTTTGAGAACTTTATTTAACTACTGATGATGTTTAAAGTAATATATTTCTAAATTGAAAAATAAAGGACATCCAAAATGAAATAGTTTGACCAAACCTCGGCAACTAAATGGAAGAGTGAGTTACTGGGGCTGAAGTTGTAATGTTTTCCGATAACACAGTAAAACAGAACTGAGAAAAGATTAAAAATCAAGAAGTTAGCAGCAACAAGTGGAATCACCAAGTTATTATTCATTCCTTCTACTTAAGCGTTCGCGCGCGAGACGGATAGGTCCTTGGTTCGAATCTCGCAGGCGGAATTGTGGATACGCTGAGTCTCATACTAGAACGAAACGGCCATCCAGTGCTTCCAGGTTTTCTATTGGAAGGTCGTTTCATCCTAGTATGGGTCTCCTTAGTAGTGCACATTCAAAATGTCCCCCACAGTGTGAATCGAACCCAGAATCTATCAGTCTCTCACGTGAACGCTTAACCTCTTGACCACTGAGCCGGTATCCGACGGTATTAATGTTTAACTTCAACCAATCCACGAAATCGCGCCACGTCAATTAGTTTTTCATCATCGCTCTACACTAATATACATGTATGACTTACAACAATGAAATAGTACTCATCGAATAGATACGTTACGTAGTAATTATATAACGACATCTCGATTATAAACTAACATTGAGTAATTTGAAGGAAGAGGATCTATAATAATCAAAGTAATTATTCGAGAATCAATCAGTTGCTACGTTGCATAATATATAAAAAAGAGAATAAGGAACTAACAAAATATTTTGATGAATAATCAGTAGTATAGTAGTTAGGTAAGGATCAAGAGACGAATGTTGAGAAAAAGTAAAATACAAAAAAATTGGAAAAAATACGAAAATAGTTTATCAAAGTTTTACTACAAACTCCCCTATATCAATGGTTAAGGTAGCGAGAATGGTTGTACAAACTTCTTTTGGATGCAAAGGTTTTGTTTGTGAAAATGGATTCCTATAGTTTTAGTAATGTACAAAAGGCAAACTCCTAAATCTTCTTTATTTATCAAATGTAAAAGAGGGGAATTTCCACTATATTCTATATTCATTCATTTAATGATAGAACCTTAAACTTATATTTTGTGCTAGTGGCTTAGACAGTCAGTTCGTCCTGGTAGGAAACTTCACAGCAATGTGAACTCGTGAACCCACAGGTCTCATACCTGACACTTAACCATCAGACAAATCAAGTGACAGTTTACTGGTACAATTCCAATGAATTCGCGATATAGCACAACTATCATCCATCGTACACGTTTGGGCTCTATCTATCACGGATTTTTACTAGAACTTCAGGAACATCTTAAAGTAATTCGAGTTATGTTGAAAATAAGCTGAACCTAAGAATTGTACTATTAGAAATTAATCCAGTGGTTCAAATGATTAGGCACTTACCGTCTAACATAAAGACTGTAAATTCAATTTTTGGTGTAGTTGTGCATTATTGAAGAGTTTTACATTAGGACGAAACATTATTCAGTCCCCTTCGATTTTTAATAATAATACCCCGATTGAGATCAATCTATGGTCATTACTATCTATAAAATGAATCAACTTTCAAGGAAACCTCTTTGATTATTCACTTAGTTACCCATTTACATTACTATGACTCCTTTAATTAAATTTTTATATTATTTCAAGATAATCCAATACCATTTATGTATATGAATGAAAAACAAAAACGTCGATTATTAGATGCTTTACCACCGAATTTATCATTAAAAGTAATATCACATATTATTGATGAGAATGATCCATATTGGATACGTTGTTGCTATGCAAAATGGCCAATTATTGATATTACCCAATATGATGGATCATGGAAACGTGCATATTTTGAACGTTTATTAGAAGAAATTATTGAAACATTTATACCTGGTACAACATATACATCCCGTTTAGAGGAATGTGTTCATTATGCTGCACCATATATTCAACGTCTTATTATTCAACAACTTTTACCTCCATTAAAACAAAAAAATAAACAAACTAAATTGGTAAACAGTAGTTTTTTGTTTTGTTTCTTCTAATTTACACTTTAAATATAAGGTGAAGTTAAGATGTTTTTCGAGAAAATAATTTTGATGAAGTTTTATTCTTTGCAGTTTGTGCTGTTGATGATGATGATGCTGTTCAGAAGAACGATGAAAGCTCCACGATCAAAGTATTCAACTCAAAGAATAAAACTTCATCAAAAACATTCAACTGAGTAGATACTCGTAAGTTACTGGTATTTCATCACAGATGCCTTAGAAATATTGATCGCAACTGATGGGATAATCGGGTAAGTAATAGTGAGATTAGACGTAGGGTATTAGGGAATGATGGTAAATCAGTTGATGAGGTTGTAAATCTTCATCGACTAAGATAGTTGGGCCACGTGTTACGTATGCCTGAACACCGATTACTACGACGCGCAATGCTGAGTGGTGTTGGAGACGGTTGGAAGAATGTTAGGGGTGGCCAAACCACAACGTGGCATCAGTCTTTGAAGTCACTAACTTCTAGTCTTAGTCATGTCGTTAGATGCAGAATACTTGGTTGGGGTCCGCATGACTATCGTAACCAATGGTTGTAGACTGTGTGTGACATGGCTCAGAATCGACCACAATGCCGTGGGCGTATACACTTTTTGTCTTCCTTTAAACAGTGAGATTAAAATCACTTCATATCTTTCTTTCTACGAACTAGATCTTTCTTCCTGCACTATATCCTTATATGCAATCTTTCTTTTATATATTAACACCATTGAGTAATCTGCTTCTATGAATCCGGTGTTCATGTTATTGTGCTAATATGGTTTGGCAACTTGGACTGATGCATATATGTGCCTGGTCCTACGTTGTAACTGACTGACCATCTCAAAATATTTAATAATTACATTAAAGATTTCAATAAACTTTGATGAGATTGTGCTGTTTGAGTTAAATGGTTTTATTCTATAGCTTTTATTGTTGTTTTGGAGTTTATCATTATGGCCTACTCCAGCTAAAATGTTTTGAAATAAATCACAATAAAATAACTTTATTTATTAATATGGGGTGTATTATGGAAGTTGTTAAACTTCATAGTTTACGTTATATACTAACCTTAATGGCGAGACTATAATTCACAGTCGAATCAATCAGGTATTTTGGCTCTAAATTCACTCACCCATTCAGCTAAATAGAGTATTGGCATTATAGCTGATATCAGTTCGTGATGAAAATCCTAAATGTAATTCCTAACCATAATTCATAAATCGAATTCCTCACACTAATTTATAACCCACATTTCGTCCTAGTTCTTAAGTAGACACTCTCAATGTCAATCTAACTTCGCTGAAAAGTTGCTCATAAATTATAGTCCCATCACCTTAATTAAACAACCATTGAGAACTGTAAAGGACAGTACAACTGTTTTTTTTTTTTGTACTACTAGCATGAAACTCCTCTAGAGTAAAGATCCACAACTTCATCGAAGATCTAATGACAATTTTCAGTCACACAAGATGTATATCACCATTAGATCATGAATCTAATACATAATTGTTATGACCTTGAATCGCTTTTACCCCGTGATACTTGTTATGACTTGACCTTGGTCTGTCTAATCTAAATTATGACCTTGACGTGCTAGGCTGAGTGGCCTAACCTTGAGTCTAATACGCGTGAGTTCGAGATGGGCTAGAGAGAACTATTCTAAATCCTGATTGGTTGGCAAGCACGCAAGTGGAAGAAGACAAGACAGTTGGAACACTAAACTCTGGATTCTCTGAATTCAGATTACTACAAAAATGTACATGAATAAATAAGTGAATATCTTGACCACGACGTACAATAATTTGGAAAAATACAGTTATGCCCGAAACAGGGAATTAGGGTAGAAAATACAGTGCAAAATATTATGTTTTGAATTACAATATTTTTGGAAGGTCTCATATGAGGCTGGAGGTTCGCCATTGTTATTGTGGACGGTTCGGCATTGCTTTGGCAAGTTTTGCTGACTGTTCATGCAAAAATTGGTTTGCTGGTTAACCGATTTCATTCATACTGGTGGTTGCTTTTCAGTGTTCCCGAGGGCCATTGTCATTGGGACATTGTAAGGCATGCCGCCATTGCTAATATTAACGAGTTTGACTGTCGTGTAAGCGGAATAGGTCAACTTTGGCCTGATCGTGCTGTGCATAATTGAATCACGCGATCATTGATCGGAATAACTATACATGTGATGTGAGTGTGTATATGAATGGTGCGAATGGTCCACCAGGGTTCTTGGTACCTGTGTGGTTGCGCCACAGGATTGAGCTGTACCATTCAGATTGTAGCGTTAAGGCCTGTACGGTGTCTGGTTCCTCTGCTAAACGGGGTTGAGCTGTACTGTTTGGGTTTTTACGTGAGAGTCCGGATGGTGTCTGGTTCTCCTGAAAACCAAGGGTATATTATATAAATAGTGAATGATACATAGAACGAAAGCTCGTGTTATGTAGAATAAGATAGGGACAAAAATAAATACAGGTTTTTGAATGAAATGCAATAACGTCCCAAGAAAATAGCTTTCAAATTTGAAATATTCCCATATTGTAAATTTAGAACAACATATATAAGCGAACAATATTGTTTTCGATTAGATCCTCATCAGGCTTTACTCTAATATACAGTAATATTTATATGCATATACGAAATTATTAAACCAATCAAAGTAGTTTATAAGTCAATGATAACAATGGAAAAGATTACATAATAAGTAAGATGTGAAAAGTACAAATTGATGGTGTGACAACAGGTGCATTAGTTTTGATAAGCAATAATAATAAAGGTTCAAATCAATGTTACATAATCTGAAATAGGTCAATGATTAGAAAAATATAGAAACTGCGATAACAATTATAAAATTATAAGATGACGTAATAAGAAATGTTCAGATAATTGGACCATGAAACGTATAGTTGAGAGAAAATAAAGTGGTAGGAGGGTGTGAAGAAAAATAATAAACGAAGAGAAAGTTAGAAAAGGAATAATAAATAAATTCATTTATTAATTAAGGCCAAGGGAGAGATAAGGGAGTTACAAATTTCTTCTGAACACAAAGACTTGGCTTGTTGGTTCGGATTCCTATAGCTTCTGCTATGTGTAAGAGACGAGATCGAACACCATAAGGAAAACTAGTGGGAATCTGATAAATAACTTTGAACGACTTGGTTCTGTCTACTATATGACCGCTATCGATCAAGTGTGATAGAACCGAGCTGCGTATTGTTTTGACGTAACCTTTTCCGAACCACGATGGGAGGTGTTCACTAACTCGTTGGTTCAGTTGCCTGGTAGTGCGCCCAATATAGCTTTCTCCACAGGAGCAGCTGAATTCGTAGATACACATAGAAGTGGCATAACCAGGTAACTTATCCTTCAATTGCGGAATCACCATCGATCGGGTCGAATACGATTTTCTCTCAACTATACGTTTCATGGTCCAATTATCTGAACATTTCTTATTACGTCATCTTATAATTTTATAATTGTTATCGCAGTTTCTATATTTTTCTAATCATTGACCTATTTCAGATTATGTAACATTGATTTGAACCTTTATTATTATTGCTTATCAAAACTAATGCACCTGTTGTCACACCATCAATTTGTACTTTTCACATCTTACTTATTATGTAATCTTTTCCATTGTTATCATTGACTTATAAACTACTTTGATTGGTTTAATAATTTCGTATATGCATATAAATATTACTGTATATTAGAGTAAAGCCTGATGAGGATCTAATCGAAAACAATATTGTTCGCTTATATATGTTGTTCTAAATTTAAAATAGCTTTCGTCATTGTCTGAGCCACTTAATTCCCCCGTTCATAACAAGTAATGATTTATCATTTTTTTCAATTATCTAACATAATCATCATTATTAGATTATTTCAATACTCTATTACTTATCTTATCAATATAGGATGATGATTCCGATACTGAAAGTGAATTAGAACAATCTCAAATACCATTACAAATGGATCATTTAAATTTCAGCTTAATATTAGAAAAATTATTTAATTTAAATGAATTAAGTATCACTTATAGAATAAAAGATTGTGGAATGAATTTTCAATGGTCATTATTTCAATTTACAATAAATGATTGTTTAAATTTATCAAAAGCAATAAAACAGCATACACATTTAAAAATATTGAATCTTATCAAGTTAGTTTAGTTTTTTGTTTTTTAAAATTTATTATCTCATTTTTTGTTGTTGTTATTGTTGTCTGAAATGGATCCAAGGAGACTCTACAAGCAATGTACATTCACAATCCTTCATGCAAGATTTGAACCTTAGGACCTTCGGTTCTACATGAGAACATTGAACCTCTAATACTTTCAGATTCTCAATAGTCGTTTAATATTGATCGATTCATGATATTAATATATATATTTATATATATATATATATAAGGGCGGCCTGCTTGAGCATCTGGGCTACCTGTTCCTGCCATCTAAACATTTCAACAAGTTATCTATTTTTGATTGAGATCATGAACCGATTAATGTTAGACCATCACAATTGGAAACCTGGAAGCACTGGACGGCCGTTTCGTCCTATTGTGGGACTCCTCAGCAGTGCGCATCCACGATCCCGCGAGCGGGATTCGAACCCAGGGCCTTCGGTCTCGCGGGTAGAGACAGGTATCTACCTCAGTACAATGGAAGTTGGTCGCGCAATTTCGTGGATTGGTTGATGTTAGAAACTATCACCATTGGATGCCGGCTCAGTGGTCCAGTTGGTTAAGCGTTCGCGCACGAGACCGAAGGCCCTGGGTTCGAATCCCGCTCGCGGGATCGTGGATGCGCACTGCTGAGGAGTCCCACAATAGGACGAAACGGCCGTCCAGTGCTTCCAGGTTTCCAATTGTGATGGTCTAACATTAATCGGTTCATGATCTCAATCAAAAACTTAGTAATCTCCACAACCCCTATACTAGTTATCTATTTATGTTTGTTTTAATATATCATTATGTTTATTAATCGCATAACCTATTCTGCTGCGTTTCTGAAAAGTGTACAACCTTTCGTTGTCAAAGTTACAAAAAACTCAATAAGAGACAATATGGTTGCTGGCAATGTACAACGAAAAGAATGTACATTATTCAGTTGTTCATTCACTGAAGTGCTAACATCTAACTGGCGATTCCTCAATATTTATCGCCAGGACCGACCAAGAAGAAAGAAACGGAAACTTGTTGAAATATTTTGCGCTGAGAATTCTATATTGTACCAAAATTATAATATTGAATAAAGCTAATAATAATAATAATAATAATCAAATCTCTTACTTACACCTGTATAGGCCGTCGACTAGCATTGTCAAACCCACTCTATCTTGAGGCTACTTTTCTAGTTCTATACAATTGTTGTTCATTCTTCTCATGTCTGTCTCCATTTTTCGGTGCAGTGTGTTCTTTTGTTTACCTCTTCTCATTTGGCCTTGAGGATTCCAAGTGAGGGCTTGCTTTGTGACGCAATTGGATCAACAGTTTGATCCAACCAGCTATAACAACTCTCTCTAAGATCTTATGAATCAGTCAATGGCTATTCATTAACAAACACACGAATATTGTTGTGAGGAAAAGTTTATTTATAAATTTACGTTTTCCAGATAACTGTTTGAAACAAAGAAGTAATCAATACCACGTTGATTACTCGATGAATTCTACCACTCTGGTAACAGTTAATGATGGTCATGTCATATTGTACAGTGACTGAATGTAAATTACATAGAAATTCAATTCATTAGTTTGAAATTATCTTGCCTATTTTAATGCCTGGTACAAATACTGGGTTCCGTCCTACATGATATCTTAGATGAGCACTATTCAGGACCCTCGGTAGGATCAAAGATGATCATTTTCAGGGTGCACATACTAATATGAAACCACTTTACAGTGCATCCTCTTTTTCAATGGTTGACTTTAAATATTTATTTAAACACATAAAGATTGGTACAGGGCGGCACCAAATATATATGCGCCACATAAATGGCTGGGATACTGACTGACTGAGCAAACCGAACCAGGTGGTTTTCTTAGGGTGCCACACCCCGAGCATTTAACCTAGAGGTCTAATTCACATGTCAGTTTGGCAGCATTAAAAGATACATTCTCATGGTAGCCAGTGACCAAGAAATTGTTTATACACCATTTGTTCCTTTAGGATGCTGGAGCCTATGTACACTATATGTTTGGAATCAGGATTTTCCAACTCCTATGGGTGGATTCACGAACCCGGTTAAAGTGTCAGACATTCGCTTTTCGTTCTCTCAATTTCGTAAACAACACTCGTGATGCGAGAAGGCAGTGAGTAGGACTTCCCTGACAGTGGTTGTGTAGTGAACAAGAACACGGGTGGGGACAGTCGATTGTATGTAGCACAAAAATTACAGACTATCTCAATAAAATGTGAATACCATAAAGTCAATCGTCAATTTGCAAAATATCATTCCATCATATCAAACTGTACTGTTCCCGTTGCAAACACTAATCCATTGTCGCCCATTCCATTGTACATGTGTTTTCTTACAATTCCATTGTGCTCTTGCTCTTCCTTTCTTGATCTTCGCCATCTTCTGCTGCCGAACATTACGTTCTTTTAACGCACGTTATATACTACTTATATAAGTAGCTCACACCACAGTTGTATGCATATAGTTATGTGAGAGCATTTCGTGAGAGAAAGAGACAGAGAGAGAGCTAACTCTCCCTACCGTTGGCCGTCTCAGGGCATTTTGTGGGTTCTTTCATCATTTTTTTTCTACTTTCTTCATCATTTACTTATTCAAACTTCTTATAAAATTGTTTTTCTTTTATATTCATTATTCAGTAGTCATGTGAATTCTGAACAATGTCGTTTATTAGCAACTCATTTACAAAATCATCCAACCATTGAATGTTTAAATTTATCCCATAATTCAATTGGTTATCATGGTATACGTGCATTAAGTAAATTATTAACTAGTAAAAATCATATTAAATCATTAAATTTAACAAATAATCATTTAAAGTCACCAAGTGGTTTAGCATTAGCTTATGCACTTTCACAATCAGATTGTCATTTAATACAATTGAATTTACGTATGAATAAATTACAAGATGATGGAGGTATTGCATTAGCAAAAGTAAGTTCCTTATGAAATGTCTGTGTTATCTTTTGTTTATATTCGTCGATGTTAAGGAATGAAACTGGTAGAATTTGTTGGCATAAATCATACATTCTGAGTGAACTCATTTAGTTTCTTCATTTAATCACAATATTTTTTTCAATAGTTTGAATTGTTTTTTTTTCTTCTGGCTAGCGGTTAGGATCGTTAACCCCATGTCCAAGCTTTTTTCTTTACTCAGGCTTGGGACCGGCATTAGCCGTGGAGGAGGGCTCCCGGTGGAGACTTTGCAAATGATCTGGCTCTTCTATCGCACATGAAATAGCAAATGCAGGAGAAGACGATCAGTGTTGCAGCAGCAGCAGCCTCAGTAGCAGTAGGTCTCAACATACACAAAGGGAAAGCAAGATTCTCCGATACAACACACCATGCAACAATTGAATCACACTTGACGGAGAAGCTTTAGAGAATGTAAAAACCTTTACATATTTGGGCAGCATTATTGATGAACACGGTGGATCTGATGCAGATGTGAAGGGGTGGATCGGCAAAGCAAGAGCAGTATATCTACAACTCAAGAACATCTGGAACTCAAAACAACTGTCAACCAACACCAAGATAAGAACTTTCAATACTAATGTCAAGACAGTTCTACTGTATGGGGTGGAAACCTGGAGAACTACGGAATCCATCATCCGGAAGATACAAGTGTTTATTAACGGTTGTCTACAAAAAATACTTCGGATCCGTTGGCCAAACACTATCAGCAACAACCTACTGTGGGATAGAACAAACCATATTTTAGCGGAGGAAGAAATCAGGAAGAAGCACATATTGAGGGAAGCACCCAACTGCGCCACAGGGCAAGCCCTCACTTGGAATCGTCAAGGCCAAAAGAGAAGAGGAATACAAAAGAACACATTGCGCCGAGAAATGGGAACAGACATGAGAAGAATGAACAGCAATTGGTTGGAACTAGAAAGGAAGGCTCAGGACAGAGTGTGTTGGAGAATGGTGGTCGGCGGCCTGTGCTCCGCTGAGAGTAACAGGCGTAATTGAATTAAACTGAATTTTTTAACAGTTAGTAACTACGTGAGGAATCGATATGGCGCGTTTCTTCCTATTTCAAATCCGTCAGGCCGATATGTCTTTATTTTAGTGTTGATATTCACACAGACTCGAACTCAATACTTTGTGGTTCAAATGATAACACGTTTTCCATTAAGTTTCTGAACTCAGACGCGTGATGCCTTCCATTTTGGTTTGGAAGCGGTCTTCAAGAAGCTCTTAAGTTAGGTTTCATGTCAAAGATTGGAGAAATTCATTAGGATTATATCAATCACTCAAAGTGGTTGTTTAATTTATTTCTCTTACAAGTTTTTAGTTAGTTAGTAATGAACAACTTAAAATCTACCAAAAATATTCATCAGTCCAACATATCATATTTCACTTCTATTACGTCCTTGATCTGTATGACCAATAATGTACAAGAGTGAACTTATGTCGATCCGGACTGAGGCGTTGACACAACAGACTAACTGGTTTAACCTTGAGGCTAAAAATGCATTGGTCCGAATTGAGACTAACTGCCTTAAGGAGAGGAATGAAAACTATTCTGTTTCAGCGAGTTTCCATTTCTTATTTCTTGATCGATATTGACGATGGATATTGTGAGATATCCAGTTAGATATTAGCATTTTAGAAGTTAACATCTGAATAATGTTCATTCCTTTTAATGCATATTGTCAGCCATCACAATGTCTTCGATTGTATATTTTTATAACTTGTACAGCAAAAGGTTGTAAACGTTTCACAAACGCACCTGAATAAGTTATGCAATTAATTGACATAATAATTTGTTAGAACAAACACGAAGACAGGAAACTTATCGAAATATCTAAATGGTAGGAACAGGTAGCCCAGATATTCAAGCAGGCCTTCCGGGAATAGAATAGAATAGATGCCAAACAAAGTTTTGCAAGTACTTTCTACACAAATCAAACCAATAGTCGATGAATACATGGAATAAATCTGCGTTAAAACTTCAACTTCACCCCAGAATCTTTATTCTTATTCTCATCTTATTTGAATAAATTAATGATGAGTTCATTTGTAAACAAGATCAATATATTCACAGAATTTCATCCAATTCATCAAACAATTGAAGCTAGATCACTATGGAAAACGTGGAAGCACTGGAAGGCCATTTCATCCTAGTATTGGACTCCTCGCTCACGGGATCTGAACTTAGGACCTGTTAGTCTTGCGCATGTGAACGCTTAACTTCTTGACCACTGAGCCGGTATCCAACGGTGTTAATGTCTAACTTCAACCAATTCATTAAATTGCACCACCGTCCATCATTGTCTTCAATGAGTTACCATCTCACAACAGACTCAGTTGAACTGCATTGGCTTCCATGGTGATTTAGCTTTAATTGACTCATGAATTCAACTATTAAGTTACTATAATATTTACAAAATGTCTAGGATAAAATGAAAATTCATTAGCATCTACTAATATCTTATTAAACAATGGAAAAAATAACTAATTTCCAAATAATGATCAATATCCATTTGTCCTTTGAAACTTTGTTCCATTAATGTAATGTAATAATGAATTCATACACTAAACGGTGAGACGATAATTTATGAACGAACCAATCAGATATAAGATCATAAGACTGTTGGGAACGTTAGATCCCCAGAACACACTTGGAAAAGGTCCTAATTTTGTAATATTATTTTGAAAATTTGAATTGCTGTGTTTTCGCGCCAAAAGTGCTCTTTCCATCTTCATGTCGTATTTCCCACTTAGGAGAATCTTAAATGCTATTGGTCCGTTGTGTCTTTTAGCATGCTATTTTGTAACGCTTCCCAAGGACGGTTTTGATTTGTGTCTGTTGTTATCACTCGTGCTTCTGGCTTTTGCGGAATATACTTCCCCCTTTCAGACTTCGACTTCTCTCTCTAGTTAGTGGGGCTGGGACGCATCGGGACAGCTAGGTTATTGGTCTTTGGTCACAAGTATTTGTTCAGTTCACAGACAAAGTGAACTCGTAATCGCTTCAAACATAGCAAGGACTTGGATTTTTTTGGCGCGAAATTCATTCATCCATTTTGGTCGAATAATGTTTTAGCATTCTAGTTGATGTCAGTTCGTAATGAAAACCTTATACGTGATTCCTAACCCTAACCATCAACTGTAAATCTATAATTCCTCATACTGTTTTAGTCCTAGTTAGTAGATGAACATTCTCATGGTCAATTTAGCGTTGGTCTCACCTACTAAATTTTTGAAATGGTTGTCATTAGTGATTTGATTTTTCTTTTTCTTTTGTTTAAATTTGTTTAGGCATTAATTCAAAATTCTACATTGAAAGAACTTAATTTAGCAGTAAATGATTTACATGAGAATACAGCAACATATTTTGGACATGTACTTACACAGAATAGTACATTGACTCATTTAGATTTATCAAATAATCAAATAGGTGTAGTAAGTTATGTCATAATAACTATTTCTTATATAACTTGTGCCCTGTGTCCTTATTAATGTATAACATAATGATACCGCCAATTAGAGAACAGTGGTTTATTGACCGGACTAATGACGCTTAAAACCTGTACGAGAAGTCTAGAGTCCTTAACGATCCTGCTTCCCGCCTATCACTGTCTCTTGGAGTCCAGAACATCAGTCTAAGCCTCTGTGATATGAATCATTTATTTCAAACATACTCAGTTTATATACCAATCAGACAGACCACATCGTACCCTAAAATGAGAAACAACGTTTGTACAAGACTTAAGCAAATGTGGCTGTCAATGTGGGAGGTAGTGAATAATAGACTGGGTATAACTCAAGAATGACGAATCGTATAATAATAGTTCATAGGTCAAAATAAAGCTCATAATAAGAGGGACACGAATATGAATAGTTTAGTTACTTAACAATTATACGATAAAAATATACGTATAGTATTGGTCTATAAATGGATCCCAGCAAATACCATTCATTGTTCTCATCAGGATATGACAATTTCACTGTTTGATATTCATTAAGCTTTACTACAAAATACAATAATGTTTATATGAATGCATGAAAAAGCATAAACTAATTATAGAAATTTCCTATTCAATGATAACAATGAAAAAGGGATTATAGATAGTATGAATTGATAGTAAGATTACAGGTATATTATTAATTGCCTTCAAATGCGCTGGTATGACCGAAAGTGTGGAGAGTCAGATCTCCCTCTCGAAATACTCTCATATGGCCATATGCATACAACCACTGCCAGAGAAGTCCTATTCACTGCCTTCTCGCCACTGGGGTGTTGTTTACCAAATTGAGAAGATGAAACGCGAATGTCCGGCGCTTTAACTGGGTTGGTAGGTTTATCTAGGGGAGTTGAGAAACCCTAATTCCAAACCAATAGTGTACATGGGCTCCAGTATCCTGAGGGAACAAACGGCGTACAAAACAATTGTTGGTCACCAGCTACCATGGGACTGTATCTCCTGACTCTGCTCTACTGCCTTGTGGATCAGACATTTAGGCCAAAGACTCGAGGTGTGGACCTTAAGAAAACCACCTGTTTCGGTTTAGACACACAGGCAATATCCAAGCCCTCACATAAATCGAATGATTTGTGTGACGCATATCTATTTGGTGCATCCTTGTACCAGTATTTATATGTTTAAATAAATAATTATTATTATAAGAATGATAGACTTATACCTGAAGTGTTTACTGATGGTTTCGTTCGGAAAAAATGATGAAAGCTCCATGACTAAATTATCCAGTTCAGAGAACAAAACTCCATCAGACAGCATAGACAACAGTATAGAATAGAATGAATTTGGAGAAAAGAATCCATGAAAATAATCATCATCAAAAATTACATAAATACGAAGCGCAAAAGATGAAGAAGAACGGAATAACAATGAGTGTGAATAATTAGGAGAATTGTTTGTTAAATCTTATGTAGGGTTTCATGTCGACTACCTCCAACTACCATCTAATCTCAATATATAGTGCACACAATGTCGAGTCACCTAGACTGGTGGCCATATTGCAACACGGTCGATAGGATTCGATCTGCACTGGACTTGACACCCATGAAATTGATCACCACCCAGTGATCAATTAATTGTGAAATATGAAAGCTTGTTGTCGTCTTGTAAGGTGAATGTCCTCTATAGCTAGAAATGAAGGATAGTTATTCAGTAGTGTTTTGAGTTAGTATCAGTATGTCAAGAAGGTTTCTCTAAAGTTATTTAATTTTTACAAAACAGTTGTTTATTTAATGCATTTATGGATGGCTGACAGTCGTATTTCATAATATAATACTTTACGACATTCAGTGTTCTGAATTACGAGTACAAAGCTTGTTTTATACAGTACAATCTTCGAAAGGTTGATATCTAACCTGAAAAAGCATCCTGCAGTGGAGTGCCAGTCAGTCAGTGAGTGATGAACAACTTCGAACTGGGCAATGATAATCTTTTCTTCAAGTCGTTTCACCATATTAGCACAACTGAATGAATTTTTCAAAACAAATTCAACAGTAACAACAGTATTAGTGGTAGTGATGTGAACGAGAACACAAGCGTGGACAACCAAATGTATTTAAATAAAAAATTATTGAATCTCATCATAGTAAAATCTGAGAATCATACAGTAAATTCTTCATTTGAGAAATGTCAATCAATCGTCTCAGACTTGATTGTCCTTTCGTTTCGACACTAATCACTCTCTATTCTCGTTCCTTTTTTCGATCTTCTTGACCTTCTGCCTCCAAGCATTTCACTTTCGATTGATGATACATACTACTTATATCTATGATCAGTAGCACACAGTACAGTATCAAAATGGATTAGGCATGCAACATATGAGTCCAGAAGAAACAAAAATGAATTCTTTGAATAAAACGTATAGGTACTCTAAGACAAAGAGTCAATACATATGCACCATTGAGACCGATATTGTAACATATTCAAATTTTTTGACCATTAGTCATATTAATCGTCCGGATTGTAACCAACATTACTCAATTCCATCTTTGCCTAGTACCATGTGTCCAACTTTGTTACTTCCAATTAGACAAAGGAGGAACACGTAAAGAATAATCAGTATAAGAGTCTAATACAGATAAGAGAAGGAAGGAAGAATGAGTTTTTGACTCAAGAAACTCATACAGTCAACAAATATGTATTAGTTAATACGCTCGATTATAATTAGTAATGAATCAAGAATGAAATTACGCAAAAACTAGTTATAGAGACTAGAAGTTGATAATAGTAAAATTTTAGATGTGTTTTCGGTCTAAAATATTGGTTATTCCTAAGGTTTAATTCATTATAGATCGATTTCAATAGGGGATACTAGCAAAAACCAATACGGGACTTCACGGGGATAAAGACGCATGACTCCACTAGTAATTGAACCCAGGACCTTCAAATTTATAACAAATAAATAACTATTAGATCCATTACTTGTGTATCCAGTGACACAATTTCAATCTAAGTCAATTTATGACATGACATGACTATCAACTAAGACCATTAATGATAATTGTATTACTCTCTGCATGCCTGAAATCCAGCAATCACGATTTCTCACTATATGTTCGGGAATATTTTGAAGTAAGTCGGGCTATATCACAAATTGACACAGTGGTTATAACAGTTCGGCGTTTATCATGGATGGTGGTGCAATTTGTGGATTGGTTGGAGTTAAACATTACCACCGTTGGATGCCGGATCAGTGGTTTAGAGGTTGAGCGTTCGCGCACGAGATCATTAATGCACACTACTGAGGAGTCATATACTAAGATGAAATGGTCGTCCTGTGCTTCTAGGCTTCCCATGGTGGTCTAGTGTTTTAATTTTCCGTTGGTAACCCGAATGGAGATCAATCTGTGACTAATACAACCCATAAATTAAATCAATCTTCATGAAACACTTAAATAAACTATACTGCGTATTTATTAACATAATCTCTGCTTGTAAATGAGCTATCACTTGCTCAACTCAGTCAGTCCTTCATGTTCTTGTTTGATCTTTATTTAATTAATACAGAGATGGTGTCAGTTTTATAAAAAAAACCCATCTGACTATGATTTTCAATGGTTTCTTCACTGTTTTTCAACTTCAGGTTGGTAGTAAAAAGCTTCAAGATGGAATGGATCAGAATTCATCTTTGATTCATTTAGATTTACGTTTCACTGGTAGTAGTCAAGAAGCGGAATATGCAATAAGTCAACGGATTGAAATGAATCAAGCAATGAATTATAAATTACAAGTAAGTAAATAAAGTATGTTTGTTATTAAGTAGTAGTATTCTTCAATAATATAAGTAATAATAACGTTAGCCAACACAAAAGTAGATGGACATTTATATGTTTTTTCTCATTATAAATTGACTTCGATTGATAACCGTTTAAAAGTTACAAAATATAACTTGGTCATTTCATTTCAGTGTCGAACACTTCAATATACTCACATATAACCTTACACAAAATGTAGTCCAGGAAAGATAGGACTCTCGGTGAACTGTATGCCATTAGGTCTACATTTTCAGCCCCCCCCGACCTCCTAAACAGGCAATATAATACAATTCTCATGCAGTGTCATCAGTAAGTTACTGTATCATTCAAAATCTAACTGACTCTGTGAATTCATCATGAAACTAACCACGAATAAGCAAATTATTATTGTTTATATTCTGGTCAGATGTGACTCTATCCAACTGATCCAACGTTTCATCAATTGGTTAGTATGGTTAGTAATGACATTGTTATCACCCTTCTGTTCTCGTTAACTGAATAAACTAAACATAAGAAGAATACAACCTTGTAGTAAAGGTTGTGGAGAGAAAGTGATACTTGCCAACATTTACATTTAATTTATTATACAACCTCGGTTACTTTAGGCCAGTTTACTTGAGATAGTGTGTTAATTGTCAATACAATTTACCTGGATAGGTTAATCTGAGAAAAGTCCAACTATTGAAATTGAGTTATCTGAATTCATTGTCTATTCATGGACAATTATGCTGTCTTAAAACTCATTATAAAGTACCCAATCAAACTGATTTTATCAAATGTTATCTACTATGACAGCTTATCATAAATTGTCAGTTCAAGGTTTGTATTAAACGATAATACAGCTAAGTCTTTAATACTTCATTATTTACTTACTAACGCCTGTTATTCCTCGTGGAGGAGCATGGGCCACCTACCAGCACACTCCATTCAACCACTTTCTAGGCAATCCTTTCCAGTTCTTTCCATTTGTTGTTCATGCTTTTCATATCTGCTTCCATTTACCGACATATGTTCTTCGGCCTTCAACCTTTCCGCTGCCTTTCAGGATTTCAAGTTAGAGTTTGCCTCGTGATGCAGTTTGATGATTTCCGTAATATATGTCCTATGCATTTCTATCGTCCTTTCCTAATTTCCTCTTCAGCTGGAAGCTGGTTTGTCCTCTCCCACAGAAGGTTGTTGCTGATGGTATTCGGCCAACGGATATTGAGTATCTTGCGTACACAGTTGTTTAGAAATTCTTATACGTTCTTGATGATGGTTGTAGTAGTTCTCCAAGTTTCAACTCCATATAGTAGAATTGTCTTGACGTTCATGTTGAAGATTCTGACTTTGATGTTGCTTGACAGTTGTTTTGAGTTCCATATGATCATCAAATGCACAAATGTTGCCCTTGCTTTGCCAATCCTCGCCATTATGTCTGCATCCGATCCTCCTTGTTCATCGATGATACTTCTCAGGTACATGAAATATTCCATATCTTCCAGAGTTTCTCCATCAAGTGTGATTGTGTTAGGGTTCTCCGTGTAGTATTAGAGGATTTTGCTTTTTAAAAATAACTAAAACAAGTAAAAATAATGAAAAGAAATTGATTGATTTTCCTTTTTTTTCTTTTTTCTTTACTATTGAATATGTAGCAAGAAATTTCTGATACTTATCAGTGTATACCATGTGAAATTACAAGTGTAGCTCGAAAACAACGATCAATTGTAGAACAACTTGGTGAAATACCTTTCACATCTTTAAGAATATAAGATATGTGTTGAGTTACTTGGATATTGTACTATATCTGGTTTGATATATATTCATGTGAACCTATCACTATCACTATAATACATCTCAAGAGATTGTATGAGTTAACTTATAATATATCTTTAATTTTTTGGTTATGAATTTGTAAATCTTATTAGAACTGTATTATGTGATTACGTATACACTAACACAAATCAGTAATAAAGGTAGCAGTAGTAGTAGTAGTGGTGGATTTTTTTAAAAATCAGTAATTCTGTCGTAAGATGTCAGTCGTGGTCCTAATGTGATAAGCGGGAACAAAAGTGGGGACAATCGAATGTATTTGAAAACAGCATTACAGAATATCTTATTAAAATCTGAGAACCACACAGCAAATACTTCATTTACAAAATGTCGATCCGTATCGGGTAGAGACAGGTCTCTACCTCAGTACAATGAAAGATGGTCGCTCAATTTTGTGGATTGGTTGAGGTTAGACATTAACACCGTTGGATGCCGGTTGGCTCAGTGGTTTACAGGTTAAACGTTCGCGCACGAGACCAAAAGCCCTTGATTCGAATCCCACGAGTGGGTTCGTGGATTCTCACTGTTAAGGAACTACCCATTGGGACAAAACGGCCGTCCAGTGCTTCCAGGTTTTCAATGGCGGTCTAACATCAATCGATTCATGATCTCAATCAAAATGTCAATCAATTGTCTCAAGATTGACTGCTCCTTTTGTAAATATCATACCTCACAGTTTGTTCATTTCCACAGCAATCATCCTCTGTTCTCCTTCTCTTTTCTTCCATCTTCCTAACCTTTTGCCTCCAGGTATTTAACTTTAAATTTATGATACATACTACTTATATCTGTTGACATCAGTAACACACATCACACTAGCATCTCACTGGGTGCATCGTTCGTCCAGATTCTACATAGAACATTAGCTCTATTAGGATTTCATATATGCTTAAATGATAAGAAGCTAATTAACACTAGGCCTATATTCAGAGCTTCAAGACGATTGTTCCCAAACACGATTGATTAGAAACCAACTATTCAGTTTGACCTATTCAAAATAAGGATTATATCTATCAGGATCTAAAGTTAATCAGTATTAAATGTTGAAATGTAATTGAATAGGCTGTCGTCTAGATTAACAGATTCGTGGATATCTGTTATTGAAGGGGTATTCGTCACTTGTTTTCGTAAATTTACAGTTAATATAGAGATTGTATAAAAATTTCCTCTGATATTTTAAATTTTGTGAAGAGAACTTCATGCAACACTTAATTATCTTTTCATAAAAAAACTCATTTGATTAGATGTTCTCAATTTTTAGGTGAGAAGTGGTGAGGAGACCTATACCAGTGCTAAGCAGCCATCAAATACTTTTTTGTTTTTTTAGTAGTTATCTAGTTAGGGTCATTCAGTGATGTTAACTGTGAAGTTCTTCAACCTTTGGAAACTCAAAACCAGTAATAATTCTGTCTTTACTGATAACTAATTTCGAAGAGAAATTCCCGTATCTCCAATTAGAAATCTTGACCAGTTGAGGGGCGGCCAAATAAAACGTGGCATCAGTCGATGAAGTCACAAATTTCTAGTCTTAGCCATTTCGTTAGGTGCAGACTACTTGGTTGGGGTCTGCGTGAATATCGTGACCAATGGTTATAGACTCTGGGTGACGTGGCTCAGAACCGATCACAATGGCATAGGTGTATACGCTCCTTGTCTTCCCTTAAACGGTGAGGTTCACATTGCTTCATATCTTTCTTTCTATCAACTAATTCTTTCTTCTTGTACTATTATATCCTTATACACAATCATTCGTTTATATATCACTACTACTGAAGTAACTGGTTCTATGAATTCGGTGTTCATGTTGTTGTGCTAATGAGGTGTGGCAAAGTGGACCGAACGATATATGTGCCTTGTCCTACGTTGTAGCTGACTGATCAGTTGAATCCAACTATATTATATGTGAGGCAGCTATTGACCAATGAAATTGAAAGACGATTGCACAATATCACAAGATAATTGAAATTAGAAACGCGTACCACTGGGCAACAAATAATTATTCCAGAGGTTCAACTTGAGTGGTTATGTATACTCACTAGTGTAAATCCCCATAATAGTAAGAAACAACTGTCAACTACTTGTTGATTGAGATCATGAATCGATTGATTTTAGCCCACCATTGGAAACCTAGAAGCACCTGACACCCGTTTCACCCGATTGTGGGACTTCAGCAGTGCACACCCACAATCCCTCTCGCAGGGTTCGAACCCAGCGCCCTCAGTCATTGTTTATGTTCAATTGTGGTGAATGTTGACTTTTTGGAGAATTTATCAACTTGAATGTGTTTTTATTTAACGTAAACTAATAATTATTCATTACAGAAGCACTTACGGTATATATCGGTATCTAACTCAGTACAATGGTAGATGGTCGCGCAATTTCGTGGATTGGTTGAGATTAGACATTAACATCGTTGGATGTCGGCTCAGTGGCATAGAGGTTAACCTTTTACACGCGAAGCCGAAGGTCCTGGGTTAGAATCACGCGTGTGGGATCATAGATACACACTACTGAAAAATCCCACTATAGGACTAAACGGCCGTCCAGTGCTTCCAGGTTTTCAATGGTGATCTAACATCAATCGGTTCATGACCACAAACAAAAACTTAATAATCTCTACAACCTTTTGGTTTTTTACCAGTTGTCTAGTTAAGTTTATTCAATGATATTGTTAAGTTTGTTTTACATTGTTCCTACTCGCTTCTCTTCCACTCTTTTGTATATTGTTTTATACTACTTATTTAAATCCAGTAAATAGTTGTATTCCCAGCAATTTTTAATCTTAAGTTGTAATACAAGTTGTGAACATTCTCAAATATTTACATATACTTATGATGCTTATTGTATTTATCATTATAATTACTTTATCTCAATCACTGTAGTAGTTATCCTCAATTTTGTGCATTTTTGTTTAACCTTTGTTTAAATGCAACGGCTTCCATATTGTTTGTTCTTGGTTCGTGTTTTGCTTGTTGAAAAACTGTTATCAAGTATTAAACACAGCTATCAGCTGTCTTTTACACTATCGAAGCCTTTTTTATTTTATACAAAAGGACATGTTAAACGCCACAGACACCTCACAAGTTGAGGTTTGTAACTAATTTTTTCATATTGGAGAGAGTCCGCTCTCCCTCTCGAAATGCTCTCACATGGCCACACGTATATAGCCCCTGCCAGGGAAGTCCTACTCACTGCCTTCTCGTGACATTACTGTTGTTTACGAAATTGATAGGACGAAAAGCGAACGTTCGGCGCTTTAACCAGGTTGGTAGACACGGAGAGTTCACCTAGGGGAGCTGGAAAACCCTCATTCCAAACCAATGGTGCACATGGGCTGCTTCCAGTATCCCGAAGGAACTAATGGCGTATGAACCAATCATTGGTCACCGGCCACCATGGGACTACATCTTCTTACGTTGCTTCACTGCCTTGTGGGTTAGACCTTCAGGTCGAAGGCTCCGGTTGTGACTTCCTAAGAAAACCACCTGCTTCTTTTTTGGGCACCTGAGTAGTATCACAGCCGTCACACATATCAAATGAGATCTACTTGGCGCATATGTATTTAGTGTCTCCTTGTACCAACATCTATATGTTGGAATAAAATAAATATTATTCAATAAGGAATTGCTAGTTTAGACAAATCATTGTTTTGTGCATATCTCAATTGGATGACTCTGGATGTTTCAATAAATCTAACAGATATAAATTTAATTATTTTCATAAATCTTCTTAAATTTCATAATGTACAATAAAATACTTTTCATTTTAACATAAGATTGTTGTCATTATTAGTTTTTTCTCTTTTTTTTTCTTCTTTAAAATCAAACAAACAACTAATGGAAGAAATAGATAGAATGTAATACTTAATCATTTGCAAAAAAAGGAAATTTGAAGAAAGAAAAACGAAAAGAAAAGCAAAGAAAAAAGGAAAAAGAAAAGAAAAGAAAAGAAAAAAAAGGAAAAACATCGAATTTTTCTTTTTTAATCTAATGAATAATATGAATGTCATTAAATAAGACTATAATTTCCATTACCATTATATTTTCCAATGATAATATGACCATTTTCATTAATTTTTAAATAATGATTTAATATATATTGATAATAATAACTTGGATGATATAAAATACCAATGAATTCACCACTACTTGTACAACATGTTAAATGATTTAATAAATTCCAATTTAATGTATGATTTATATGTTGTTGTATTGAATGTTGACGTTTTTCCTGGAGAAATATGGAAGAGAAAAGAAAAGAAAAGAAAAGAAAAAAAGAAGAGAAAAAAAAACGAACGTAACAGTGCTAGAACTAGAGATGGGTTCTATGGAGATTTTAGTAATTTTTTTAATAGTTGAGAGATCATCAGTCCATTAAAGCTAGAACATTATGAAATGTTTAGGAGAAGTGGACGGCTGTTTCATCTTAGTATGGGACTCCTCAGCAGTGCGTATACACGATCCTGCCCTGCGAGATTTGTAATCCAGGACCTATCGGTCTGATACGCGGACGCTTAACCTGAAGACCGTTGAGCCAGCATCCATCGGTGTTAATGTCTAACTTCCACCAATTCACAAAATCGTGTCACCATCCACCATTGTCTTCATTGAGTTAGTATCTCACAACATACCGGGTTGCATTCCACTAGTCATTGCTTCTCACTAGAACTCCAAGAAATACCTCTTGAAGACAGTCCATTAGTGAGCATATGATTATGATCAGAAAGGGGTTTTATGGATATTATAGTAGTTTATTAGTTGAATTCATAAGTCAATTGGAGCTAGACTACCATGGAAAACCTAGAACAACTGGACGGTCGTTTCATCCTAATGTGGGACTCCTCAGTAGTGTGCATCCACGATCTAACCCAGGATTTATCGGTCTCGCGCGTGAATGCTTAACCTGTAGACTACTGAGCCGGTATCCAACGGTATTATTCTTGCAGAGCGAGATCGTGGATGCGCATTGCTGAGGAGTCTTATACTAGGATGAAACGGCCATCCAGTGTTTCTAGATTTTTCATGATGGTCTAGCTTCAGTTGAATTCATTCATGAATTCAGTTATTGAATAATTTAATGTTTACTCACGTGTTTATTTGCTGTAAGTTTTGGTAGAACTTTTGTAGGACTTCGTCGATCTCGTTCAGTTTGAAGTTCTATAATTTCAATGAAACATAGATTGTACTCGTTAAATGTTTAATATTGACATAATATGATTAATTAGAATAAATAAGTAATTAAATATACCGTCTTTAAATAAGTTTAAACTATTTAGTGCTGTCTAAACAAAGATGGATAGTGGTTAGCAGTGGAATCCAGTTTGACGCGCACTTCGTCCTACTTGGGACTCATCAGCTGGATGTATCTGCATCTCAGAGTTAATGTTCACGAGTGCCTAATAGAATGAAGCAAACACCCTTGGTTCCACTACTGGCTATTATCCATCTTTGCTTAGAATACTTGTAAATTAAGGCAGTATCGAAGTATTCCTCATATTATGCACATATGTCAATAAGAGAATGATGAATTACAGTCCTAATTATCAATTGGAAGATTCAAGTAAACAATACCAT